ATGGATGAATGGATGGATGAATGGATGAATGGATGGATGGACGGATGGACGGATGGATGGACGGATGGATGGACGGATGGATGGATGGATGGATGGATGGATGGATGAATGGATGGATGAATGGATGGATGAATGGATGAATGGATGGATGGATGGATGAATGGATGAATGGATGGATGAATGGATGGATGAATGGATGGATGGATGGACGGATGGATGGATGGATGGACGGATGGATGGATGGATGGGTGGAACTCGTTCTGACAGAGAGCCATGCCAGGATGGTGTCTCTGCAGGGAGAGTGAAAAGAAAAGGACGTAACTGTGGTCACACATGGTCGTCAGTGGGACAGAACTTTGATACGTTTCATGGAGTACAACCCGAGCTTCAGCCTCGTGTCTTCTGGTGCTTGTGTCTCACGTCTCTGTGCGTCTACAGGCTGGGAGTGATGGCGAGAGCATTGGAAACTGTCCTTTCTCCCAACGCCTCTTCATGATCCTTTGGCTGAAAGGAGTAGTGTTTAATGTTACCACTGTTGACCTGAAGAGGTAATACTCTGTTTGTACTCAAAGTTTTTAACGTAAATCTGACATTATACAGTACGTGAGACATTACATGTTGTCAGAAAACCAGCTGATCTTCACAATCTGGCCCCGGGAACCCATCCGCCGTTCCTCACCTTCCAGGGCAACGTTCTCACTGATGTCAATAAAATAGAGGAGTACCTGGAGGACATGCTGGCTCCACCAAAGTAGGCCTCACGCACAAACACACATACATGGGAAAGTGGGAATAAAACACGGTATGGGCGGCCGCCTGACCGTTGATTTCTGTCCGTCAGGTATCCCAAACTTGCAGTAAAGAATCGTGACTCCAACTTAGCAGGAAATGACATATTTGCCAAGTTCTCTGCTTATGTGAAAAACACAAGACCAGAAAAAAATCGAGGTGAGAGAACACAAACTTTGAATCCAAATACTTGAGTTATTTTCAATCAGAATTATAACTGATCTCTTTAAAAAACCTGAATGTGTTTCAGCATTGGAGAAGAGCCTAAACAAGGCTCTGGCTAAGTTAGATGCGTATTTGATGACTCCGCTCCCCGATGAATTTCTGTCGGGACACCACAGCGGCCAAGGAGAATCCGCCCGTAAATACATGGATGGTGATGAACTGACGCTCGCTGACTGCAACCTTCTCCCCAAACTTCATGTAGTCAAGGTAGCTTGTTCCTTGCAGTTTTTATTTTTACATTTGCTCACTCATCCTCAAATCTGGCCCTGATAGCACCGTTACTGCAAACCGTTCTTCGCAGGTGGTTACGAAGAAATACAGAAACTACGAGATCCCGTCTGATTTCAGAGGAGTATGGAGGTACCTTGGCAATGCCTACACCAGAGATGAGTTCACCCACACGTGTGCAGCAGACGTTGAAATCGAGCTCGCTTACAAAGACGTGGCTAAGAGGCTGGGGAAATGAGTGGACCACAGCTTTAACCTTGTAATGACATCTAATAAGTTGCACTTTCAGCGCATGTCACGTACACTCTTTACATATAATTAGCTGTTTTTAAAACCAATGTGCTGAATAAGCTCAAATTCAGCGTTGTGTTTGGGAAGAGATGCTCGTTACAAAAAGGTTTATTACGTCTTTCAAGAAGTATCTCCAAAAATATTCACAAAAGAATGTATGGTAATGTTAATTTTTGAAAAATTTAAGAGAACAATCTAGAAAACCCAGAATAACAGCTGTTACATTAGCCTATAGCTAAAGTGGCAGGCCTGAGCTAATCTATAGGCCTATGTCTAACTTTTTGGGCTTTCTAAAACCCAAAACAATGTTTAATAGTGCAAACCATGAAGTTAATATTGTATTTAACCATTCTGAACAATTTATCAAGCTAATCACTAAGTGACAAACCCAGTGTTACGAGTGACGCCAAGAACAAACCAGCTAACGTTTAGCATCTGTCAGGGAGCGAGCTACCTTAATTCTTTCATTTTTAATAACACATTTAAAGTTATAAAAGTTTTTTTAAATACCTCTTCAAATTTTATATGAAAAAAAACAAGAAAAAGCATTTTTAAACAAGTTATGGAACAAAGTTAGCTTAGTTAGCTAGCTAGCTTAAGCTAATAAAATGTTAGCAACAGCAAATTTTGAATAAAGCAGATACAATTTCGGGTGTTTTGGTGTATTTTAACAGGTTGTTAAACATCTACGTTTACCTACATTTGTAAACCATTCTGCTTCTGTCGAGCATCCTACCCCCTTTCCTCGTACCGGACGGTTCCGAGGCCGACTCTTCGCTGAATTCACTGTCCTGCTCCTTGTTACCCGATTCCACATGTGAAACCTCCAGGGGCCTCCTCCGTCTGTTCATGGCGGTTGGTTGTGGGCTCCTGCCCATGTTCTGGTTAGCTCAGCACTCACCCATCCCATGGGCGAACTGGCCATTGGGAGCACAGAGACATTTCCCGGTGGCCTGGCCCGCTCAGTGATCGCCGAGGGGCTGGACCAAAGGCTCGGTTGCACATGATTATTTTAAATAAACAATCCATGTCGCTAATCAAGAGCAACCTGAACCGAGCCTTTGGTCCAGCCCCTCGGCGATCGCTGAGTGGGCCAGGCCACCGAGAAATGTCCCTGTGCTCCCGTGCGCTGGTCAGTCCGTCCTGTCCCAACAGGATCCGGCTCAAATTAAGCACTAGATGAGAAAAAAAAGAAGAAGCAATATTTAAAAAATATATAATTTAGAACTTCGGTCATTTTTCAAATGAACAACAAAATGTTTTCAGCTCTCAAACGCATGTCGAGTATTAAAAGTTGATCTTATAGAATGGAAACCACTGAAAACACCGTCATGCACCGTCTTAGAAAACAACTCTGGCATCAAATTCAAGCCGTTTTCATTTCCTGTTTTGTTTTAAACTAAAATGACTAACAGACATTTGAACAGAGATGTCATTTGGTGAAAGAAGATTTATTCAACTGTCGTGTTCGTCCTCCAGTTTGTCTTCGTCCCCTCAAATCTTTGAGGGACGAAAGGGACAAAACTTTGAATGTGATTAAAAATGCCGTGTGGGGTTTGAGTAATCAGCGCTCCTCTCTTTCTTTGTGTGATAAAAACTAGTTTTGCTCCCACATTGTGTGTTTTGTTATTGCAAAGATAAAATGCTAAGAATGTGTTTTAGCCAAAATAACTTGTGTTTCAGGCCTACAAGGTGCAGCTCCACAACCTCCTGGGTCGGGTGGTTACACCTTCGACATATTTTCCCAGAAGTGGATACTATCAGTCATTGTCGAAAAAGAATCAGTCTTTCTTGTTAGCAGTAATTACATCTTAAAATCACTCAACTGCAAAAAGATGTAGAAGAAATGAAGAAAGCGCCTAAATGAACCATTTATTTGTTGTTTTATGTGATTTAGTGCTCAGTGATGGCGGTGAAGTCTAATGACGAGAGCCTGAGTGTGAATCAACTCCTGTTGAGTCTTCCTGTCTAAAGATAGTAAGACTTTCATGATCAAAATCAAGTTCTTCATCTCCAGAGCTGTGTGCACTCACAACATACTGTACATTAAATATATCTTGTGCAATAATTAAAACAATCCGTTTGTTCAAATTCATGAAATGTGTCTGTAAATTGTTAAAAACTGTATTTATGTTCTCTGTAATAATTATGAACCACTGTGTATACTGTTTTCTTTATTTGGATAATAAACCTATTTTCTCAGATTTGGCTTCTTTTCCTTCTTTTGTTGACTCTCTTGAAGGGTCTTCACGGCCGCTCTGCCTCCATCCATCACCTCTGCCACACCAGAAGGTCCAGTAAGTCCACTGTCCCTCCTCTGTACATGTCCAAACCATCACTACTATCCGTCATCACTGTCTCCCCTCTCATTCACATTATGACTTACTTTTACTGACTTTTGCACTTCTCCAGACTCTCTTCCACCTGCTCCCTACAGAATGTTAACTTCAAACAGTCCTACCACACATCTCACCGTCGTCTCGCAGTCCTTGTACATGTCCTACCCTCAGGACATTTCCAGTTTTGTTAACAACAACAGACATTTCCTTCAGACTGCCTCTAGGAGCCAAAGCCAAGAGATAAACTCGCCTACACAAAATCTAACACAAACTAGAGAAGTTGCATTTCCTGCGAAAATACAGTGTGAATGCTTATTGCTAACGAACTGGCTGGAAAACAGCTGAAATTAGCTAAAAAATCTTAAATTAGCAAAAAACAGCTAAATAGTAGCTGAAGTAAGTGAAATTAGCATAAATAAACTGAAAGTAACATAACAGGATGAAATTAGCAGAAAGAAGTTAATTTGGCTGGAAGTAGCAGAAATTACCACGAAAAACTAGAATTTATCTGAAAATAGCTGAAATTAGCTAAAAATTGCTAACAAGCTATAGCTGAAAAGGTAGAAGAAGCTTAAATTAGCATAACAAAGCAGAAAGAACAAGTTTGCCCAGTTTGGATGGAAAAAAGCTGAAATGAGCACAAGAAAGTGGAAATGACCTGAAAAAAGCTGAAATTAGCAAAAACAACTGAAAAGTAGCTAACAATGCAGAAAGAAGCTTAAATTACCAGAAAGAATTGGAGAGAGTAAATTTTTTGCTGAATTAGGGTGAAAAAAGTTTAAATGAGTGCATAAATTGTGAAATTAGCTGAAAAAGCTAAAGCAAACAAAAACAGCTAAATAGTAGCTGAAATATCAGAACAAGCTGAGACTTGTATAAATAAGCTGAAATTAGCAGAAATAATCTGAAAGAAGCACAAAACAGCTGAAAAAAACCAGCTTAAGTGAGCTGAAAGTAGCTGAAAGCATTCACATGATGATCTTCAGAGTGAGTTCCTCTCATGAAACTTCCTTCAAGAATAATGCTATAATAATAATAATATTCATATTTTGATTACTTAAGATTTAGTTTACAGTACACAAGACATGTCAAATGAGGCCACGCATCAGTAAACATGTCGGAACGCTTTATTTTGACGTGTTTTATTCAAGTTGTCAGTTAATCTTCCGTGATGTGTAAATCAAATCTGAATTCTTGAACTCTTCTGGCTCCACTTCTCCTTCTCACGTTCCTGCTTTGATACAATCGTGGTTTTCCACTCATCGCTCTGAGAATCAGCAGAAACTGTTGAATAAACTCGGATTTCTGATCACAGAACACAGTTTGGAGGACAAATACCAGAAAAGTCTAAGTGGGCTGTGTTTACTGGCACCCAGCAGATGGCAGTCAACACAAAGGCACTCACTTTGGATCACTACGTTCAAAATTAAATCAGAAACATGCACTTCATGTCCACTAAGCACATCTGCAAGAACAGGACCAAATGAAAGCAAACTGTGCGTCTACTGCGTCTCTATGAGGCCTCAGCTTGACTTTCAATGTACATTTACTTTTTATTAAGATTTCATAGTACAACGTATAGTATAATTTATATTTCATAGTACAACG